CGAACAAGTCTTTTAATGTACTAAAGAGATCATTATGCAGCGTGAGAGGAACTTTGTCATATACCGCCACAAAACAGCCATATTCCTCAAGTGCATACATGACATCTTTGCATGTGGAGAGCCATGAACTTGTTCCAGGCTTCAAGTTTTCCTTGGAAAAATCTATGACAGGAAGCTCGGGAGGTGACAGGGAATCCATATATAATTTTAAGATTAGCAACTTGTTGCTTTAGCTAGAATTAGTGCACAAACATAAATATTATTTCACGTGTATTTATAGGTTCCTTGATCCAATGGTGCCATATTCAGAGGAGATAGACAACAGGAGATAGAAAACAAGCGAAATTGATGTATTCAAAGATTTTGGCATCATGTTTCTCAACCATTTTCTACTTCATAGAACTCTTATCCTTGAAGAAACATGATGCCAAAATCTTTGAATACATCAATTTCGCTTGTTTTCTATCTCCTGTTGTCTATCTCATAAGCATTATCTAGCAATTTAAGTTATTATGCTAAAATAATTTGTTAACAAATTATAAAAGCTTTATTAATTGAACGGTAATAAATTTAAATTTTATTATTTTATTTTATTTTATTTTATAAAAATTAAAAATAAAATAATATGAGAGATTCTGTGAGTTCAAGCTTAAAAAAATTATTTTAAAAACTATATTTAAAAATTATATTTTGAAACTCACTAAAGCTACTTTAAATAAATCTTTGCATAGTATTATGAACAGTGTGACATGTAACTGGTGACGGCAACTGGGTAAATTACGTACTATTGCTCTCAAATGTATAATGTCATTGGGCAATAATACTTTTGTTTCCTACTGCTCAGGCTCCATACCTGTACTGTTGCCATGTGGCTCTGAAGGCTCGTGATTGCAGCTGCATCTATCAGTCTAGAGCCGGCAAAGTCTTAAAGCAAATCTCAATTTAACAAAAAAAATAAAATAAAAAAAAATATATTAATCAATTATATTTTATAGAAGAAAAAGTATTTTCAATTAATAAAAAATATCAAATACAGAATAAAAATGATTTAAGACTCTGCTTACCTAGATATACATAAAAAATAATTCTTAAATATTTTAAAATGTTTTATTTATGGTTCTCTTCAGCCCTATATCTTCTTGTTTGACAATATGGCCTGCGACAGCAACAGCATCCATAAATCTATTGGATATTCGACTCACCAGGAAAGTGACATGCACCGAAAAGAAATTAGGTTAATATTTTTTGTCATTGTAGCTTATTATGTGAACCTACTGGCGTCCAATTAAGCTTTAATTTGTGCAAAAATGTCAGCAATTAGGAGTTTTCAGAATTTACGAGAGAGAAGATAAGGTTGAAAGATTCCATAGCAGCAGACAATACAACTGTCAAGTTGCTGTCATGGCACTAGCTTGCACCCTCGTCTCAAAGTGTTCTTTCTAGACAATCGGTGATACCCTATTGCTACATCTGGCTTTTACCTCCTCCAATTTGTCCTCGATAATTTCGAAGAAAGTAGATTACAATGATTGCATAATAAAACCTTGGCTTGTTATTCAAACATACATTCCCACGAGATATTTAGATATTGTTTGTTTGTTTTTTTTTTTTTAAAAATGTTGCTAAAATTATTTTATTTTATATTATTTTAAATTAAGTTTTTTATATTTTTATATTGTTTGTTACGAGTCTACAAAAATCATAAAAAATATCTTGAAAAAAATTATTTTTTAAAATCATTGTACATCATGCATAGCGTATTTTACTGTCTTTACTTTTAAACTACATTGATTTTTTTTAATAGATTTCTTTTAAGGTTATAAATTTTTCCTTGAGTAAATACTTGCACAATATCCTTTAGAAATCTCTAAGGTGTTAATAAGAGACCCTCTGAAGATAAAGTTAATATGAAAATTAATTTTTTTATATTTTTATATTGTTTGTTATGAGTCTACAAAAATCACATATTAATGAGCTTTTATAAAAATAAAAAAAAAATAAAAGTTAAAAAGAAAGAAGAAGGAATCTATTAATGCATAAGGGCATAAGGATTCAAACTTTTTTTTCCTTGTATTTTACTATCTTTACTTCTAAATTACATTGATTTTTTTTTTAATAGATTTCTTTTAAGGTTATAAATTTTTCCTTGGGTAAATACTTGCACAACATCCTTTAGAGATCTCTGGGATATTGATAAGAAACCCTCTGAATATAAAGTCAATATGAGATATTTTTATATAGCAAAATAATATTAATAAGGATATTAATGAGCTTTTATGAAGATAAAAAAATATATATAAAAGTTAAGGAAAAAGAAGAAGGAATCTATTAATGTATAAGGGCATAAGATTTCAAACTTTTTTTTCCTGCATACTCAAGCTTTTTTTTATATTACATGTCTTAACTTGTTTTATACGATATATGAGGGATAAAGATGTAATATCATAATAATATTATTCTACTACTTGTATCAACACATCTCATTAATATAGTCATAGATTACTTGTTCATAATTAATGACATGTAATAGGTATCATAATTACAGCCTATATCCAAAATAGGGAAGGCTTGGTATGTGGTTATGTTTTAACTATACACTGAACTCGAGTGTGGTTGATTGAATTCAAGAGGACTTGGGATTAGCTTATACGCTAAACTCAAATGGAGTTGGGTTCCATTCGTGTGCCGAACCCAAGTGTGGTTGGGTTTAGCTCGTACATTGAATCCAAATGAAGTTGGGTTCAATTTGTATACCAAATCCAAGTATGGTCGAGCTCAAACACGTCCCGACCTATCATGAAATTGGATGCGGACACGTTATAACTTAATTTGGAGTTGGGTGTGGAGAAAACATAACTCTATTTTGGGTTATAATTTTTGTGTGATGGCCTTTAAATGAAAGAGATTTGGTTGATTGAATTCAAGAGGACTTGGGATCAGCTTATACGCTAAACTCAAATGGAGATGGGTTCCATTTGTGTGCCGAACCCAAGTGTGGGTGGGTTTAGCTTGTACGTTGAATCCAAAGGAAGTTGGGTTCAGTTTGTATACCAAACCCAAGTGTGGTCGAGCGCAAACACGTCCCGACCCATCATGGAATTGGATGCGGATATGTTATAACTTAATTTGGAGTTGGGTGTGGAGAAAACATAACTCTATTTTGGGTTATAATTTTTGTGTGATGGCCTTTAAATGAAAGAGATTTTTAGAAAATCATGACCTATCAATTTTATTATCAATTTTGATATACGATGTAAAAATAAATTTTAAAAATAAAAAATTATTTTAATACAAAAACAATTACTTCTTAACAGCATGAAGATATACAGAATCTTTAAAATTAAATGATTTTTGTTCTCTGATTCTCTCCATGTAATATTTTCAAACCAACCAACCAAGGTAAATGTTTGCCAAATAGAAAGGTCCAAAATTTAAACCCTTGGAATTTCACGAGGCATTCACCTTACTGTAAAAGTAAAGACATTAGCATGTTTTTGACATGTTGAATTCAAAATATAATATATTTACTTTTATGACATGTTATCTATTTTTCAAAAAATTATAGACTAGACTTGTTGGTCCATTCTTCTAGCCAAAACAATACTCCTGACTCTTTTTTTTTTTAAATCTTCCTTAATTTCTTTTATTTGATTTTTTTACATTTAATAATAATCCTATATTTAAATAAATTTATTAGAATTATATTTCAATCATTATCGATTATACTTGGAATTTCACGAGGCATTCACCTTACATTCACCTTACTGTAAAAGTAAAGAAATTAACATGTTTTTGACATGTTGAATTCAAAATATAATATATTTACTTTTATGACATGTTATCTATTTTTTAAAAAATCATAGGTTCAAATCCTTGGTTACTCATATAATGGCCACTGGAGGGGTTTTTCTATATATCTTTGTTTTATTTTTTAATTTTTATTTAAAAATAAAAAATAAATGTTTCTATGGAAAAAAAAATATATGAATAAGAAAAGAGAGTTTTGATTAAAGAGATACATTCCCCCCGTTATTTCAAATCAATATTTTTTTTATTCTTTATTTTAATTGCCTTTATTTTTTGTTCAATAAAACATATAGCAAATAAAAATGATATGTTTTTGGAAAATAAAAAAATAAATACATGAATAAAAAAAAAGATAATCTGACTAAAAAACATACTTTTTTTCTTCAAAATTTATACCATTGTCTTTCTTATAAATATTCATTTTAATTACCGTATAATTAAATAGAAAATCCAAAATCACCATGAGAGATAAGGTTAAATATTGACATGTGTATCTATATTTGTTTTTTACAATAAAGATCAATTTATTTTAATATTTAATTAACATTAATATTTCTTTCTATAATTTATCAGTTTAGATATTTTCAATTTGTTTTTATTGAACATATATATCATTCTTCCAGTTTTTATTTAAAAAATTTCATGATATCAACAACATCAATACTTTTTTCTTTTGTATTATAAATTAACTTGAAATCTTATTTTCAAGGTAATGAAAATAAATTGAATAGTTACTTCCTATGATTTTCACATTGCATTCCCTTGCTGGTCTCTTTCGGGTGCCATAGTCAATCCTGTTCATCTCCATGTATGGTTTAAATCAAGGCCCATGAATGCTACGAAGCTTAATTGGATGTAAGATGCTATTTGAAATTGAGTTTTAACCTTTTAATATTTTTAAAATAAAAAAATATTATTTTAATATATTTTAAATAAAATAATTACTATTACATTTTCAATAACAAGTCCTAGCCTAGCAACTCTGAAAATTTTGGTTCGAAAACATCCTGTAGAGTCCAGACCGACCCCGTAAATTTCACTGAGGGACTTTAAAAAAATTACATTAATTAATTGATTATGTTTCCATTTGTCGGAGCTTATTGTTTCCTTGATTTCAATTTATTATTTTTTTTACAAAAAATTCAAGGTAAAAATAACTTAATTTATTGAAGAATAAGACAACACACTTTGAGTTTAAAAAAACACAGCAAATTAAGATAAAGTGATACAAGTTGCTAGCGTAGGAACATTACAATGCAAACACCGCAGTATAATTTAAACACCACAATAAGTCTTTAACGCAGATTGATCTGTCTGACCAGCTTCTGTGTAGTAATATCCAAGGAACTCGAAGTGATCAAAGGGTTTAAAAAGCAAGGGATGCTCCTCGTCAATCAACTCTTCTGGGGCTTTTACTATATAGCCTGCTTTGGGGACTGCAAACAATCCAAGAGAATACCTTACCTCATTGCCTCTCATCATAACTCGATGATATGGAGAATGCAGTCGACCGTTTGCCCAAGCCTACATAAAATCATATTTCAAAGTTAGAGACCCAACAGTCCAAATGCTAAAGTCCTTGAATAACACATAATATAAAAATAAATTTATATCGGGATAAGTTATGTTACGATGTGTTATATAAAACTATATTAATATATAAAAGACTCTTGGCTATAAGAAATTATTCAAAATTTATTATCTTATAAAAATACTAAAACATATTAAATTTATGCATATACATATGGGATACACACAGGTATATTAAAGTCAACAACTTTAGAAAATAAATAATTTTTAAAATTTTTAAAAAACATGATTTCAACTAGTTTTCAAACATTATATAAATCTAAAAAGAACAAATTAATAAAATGAGATATAAATAAATCTTGCGAAAACTTGATATTAATTGGTGTGACTTGGTTACCTTATGTTTGATCAATAATTTAAAGTTTTAAGGATAATATATAATTATATATTTATTTTTGAAGAATCATATTTTTTTTTTAAAAAAAGGAAGGTGAGAAGGTACTTACATAAAGAGAATCTCCAATCATGACAATGAAAGAGTCTGGATTGGGTTTGAGATCGGTCCAGCAACCATCTTTGGTTTGTAATTCTAGCCCATCAACTTGATTTTGGCATAAAATGGTCACCATGTTCTTATCAGTGTGAGAAGATAACCCAAGTTTTGTCTCAGTTGTCTGGGGCACTTTATATTTCATGACCCTGAGAAGGTAGTTGGTAGAGTTCATGTGTTCGTCCAAGTATTTCTCGAGTCCCAGACTCTCGACAATCATCCTTCGAACTATTTGATCTAATTCCGACACTTGCTTCGAGAAGGACAGAACAGTATTGCTAGCAAAAGAGGTTGACTAATTAGTAAGAAAACTGTGTGAACACATGATTTTAGATGAAAATGATACACAAGATTAAACAACCAGCGCAATCAAGCATTTTTTTTTATTTATTGAAATCTAGTAGCTGTGCACAAGGGAAAAGTCGGAAAAAGAGCAGAGAATGGGGTAAACCTAAAACTTTGATTCCCTTGCGGCCACAAGATGGCGGTCGTTCTCTCAACTTCTTCAGCTATGTTGGCATCATCAATACCCATGCTCTCAAATAGTGGCACCTGAGGGTACTGTCCAACATAGCCATGGTAAGGTTTCCTAGAAGCATTGCGCATTTTGGTTTGCAAAGGGAGATCAAAGAGCTCTTCAACTGCACCAAATATAGCCTTTCGACTCTCAGCAGGAATTTTGTCAAATAAGGCCTCGAAGCAACCATACTCTTCAAGCGCTTTACGAACTTGCAATTTCACCAAGTCCCACTCCGCAGCGCCTGGATTTTGGCCTAGATTTGAGAAATCTATGATTGGAAGCTTGAGAGCAGTCTCAGAGCCCATTTCCTTTTTTCCTTCTTCGTTGAAGAGTTGAGAGATAAATTATGAAGAAGAATGCTTTTGTTGATCTATTCAGTTTCCCTCGCTGTGCCTATTTATATACGGCTCGCCGTGAATTGTTTCTTTGTGGAACATTCGTCTTCTGTTATTCTCCTTTTCATTTTGGGTATCAATAATTGCGTGCTCAAGTATGGGATCATGAACACCTCACCAACTGCAATTGAGAGCTAAATACGACAAAAGATCATATTTGGTGCCTCATGACTTTTTAATTCAAAGCACCAAAGAAATATTCTAATCCCTGTTTCCAGACAAAATTAAAGCATTACAATAGGCGCAAGTCTTCAATTTCTAAAAACTATACGTAGTAATAATGAAGTATAAGAAGCTTGAGTGATTTGGTTGGATGGTGAAGGACTGTTGTCTCTTTAACCATCAGCATTTAAGTTTTCAGTTTGGTTATGAGAGATAAAATTCTCATAAATGTTTCAATCGTGACAAAAAATTATGAAATACAAAGATAGTATTTTTCGATGATAATAGTGTTAGAATATATTTGTCAAAAATTTCCAACCATAATAACCAACAACATATTTTTAGTTTGTATTTACTAACAAAATCACCACTAAATTAAAAATAATAAAAAAAGTAAAAAAAATATTTTTGATAATTCTATTAAGATGGCACATCAACATTTGCCAACAAACTTTACCAATGATATTTTTTTTGTCATAATATTCTGTAAAATATTCCATCAGCAAACTTAAAAGTATTATAATTGACACCAACCCTATCCTCTTCTTCTTTTTTAATTGCAAATCAAAATAGTAGCCCCTTTTTTTATTTTGCTATAAATCTAGGTTTCATCGTCACAAATTCGACCACACAATACTTCATGGTGTAGGCATTATTGTCAAGGTGCAATTTTTTCTAAATATTTCATACATTAAATAAGCAAACCTACCCATTTATGTTTTAAGTTAATATATTGATTTTTTTAGTATTTGTTGTATGATTTGCTTGTATATTTGAGTATTTTACAACCATTTGATAGAAAATTAAAGTTTGATTTGTATATTACGGTTTGTTTGGGATTTGTGAAATTTTGGATTTGTTTATAATTTGATAAAAATAATTTTGATTTTGTAACTCAATTGTGTTATATTGAAAGAAATTATGAGTTATGTAATGGGTAATAATCATATTTTATCGATTTTATTGTTATGTTAGAAATTTTGAGGAAATTGATTTGCTTATAGAATTGATAATAATTAAATAGTATTAATTTAAATTATATAAGTTTGAATTAAATAGATAATAGATAATTAGTTGGTTACAGTTTATTTGTTGTTAATTGGATTTATTTAGTTCTTATTTTGACGCCTTGTCACATTTTTATACAAAAATAATAATTGATTATTAGATTGTGAATTCACTTTTAATTTCCAAAATTAAATTTTGCATTTATTGTTATGTTGTTAATAAATATTATCAACATTATTCTATATAGGTTTCTAAGTAATGGATGATAACATCATTAAATTAGAAAAAAAAAATTTACTTAAAGGGAATAGACTTAAAGAAAACTTTTATGCTGTAAAATTCAATATAATGATTACATATAAAAAAAATGAGATACTTCTCAATCACTATTAAGTTGCAAATGTTATTTATATCTTTAAAAATAGTTGAATATATGACACGACATCATTCACGTGATGGAGTCATGGTATATCCTTTCGATGGAGAAGCTTGTAAGCAATTTAATAAGTACATCCTTAGTTTTCAATGAAACTATTAGAATGTGTGTTTGGTTTGTGTATAAATAAATTTAATTCATTTGTGCCTTTTATTGCACTTTATTCTTGTAAGCTGATTATACTAATAGTCCTTAACTTGTATCTAGGGATATGTATAATACTTGAACTTATGTTCTTATTTATAGTCATAATTGATATTTATAGTTCAGATAGGAATATAGATATTAAAAAAGAAGAGCCAAGTCAAATGACTTTTAGGTGTGGAAGAACTTTAAACTTCCCCATATTATTAAGAGTAATTGAGAGTGATATCTAGAGTTCATAAAATTAGAAAGTTTAACGAGACAGTCACAAAGTAAATCCTTTATTGGTTGAGCAATGAATTGATATTTTAATTGCTGAAATAAAGATAAAATATAAAGAACGAGGTAAGAAGCAATTAGAACAGATAATGACATATCTATCATACGATCATTATCTTTTTCTTTATAGATTTTAACAAGATTTTTCTCTATATTCCCTTAGCCCTTACCCTCTATATAAATCTTCCTTTTAATGTATATAAAAGTTTATAATTGATTCTTAAAGTTAAATTAATAGTATTAAACTTGTTCTTTGATTTTTTTAATAAAGTTTAGTGTCAAATTGTTTAATAATATTTTTTTAAAAAAAATTACTAAAATATTAATAAAATCACCGATAATCATAAACATTATATCAGTTTATCCATCCATGAAACATATTTTTTTTTTTAGAGAATTATGGAGAGTTGTTAATTATTTTAATATAGATAGACAGGTTCACTGATTAGTACTTAAAAGTGCATTTTTATCAAGGTTTTATATCATTATTTTGCACTTGAAATATCAATAACTCCTTAATTAAAGCATGTTTTATAATAATATATCTAATAATATAAGATACCTTTAATTTAT